TTTTTGTTATAATTATTATTATTTTATCTTATATCTTGAGTATAATTGTTATATAAAACCGAGTCTGAGTTATTATTACTATTCTTGTATATTTTGTTAATAAAGTTGATTATAAGTTCTTCGAGTATAAAGATCTTTTCAATAATTCGAATTAGAGCAAAGTGTTGATTTACCCAAATTAATAAATATTTGTTTATTTTCGAAATAAACTGAATATAATAGATTTTATCACAAAGAATTATATCTAGATCTATTATCTTTGGAAACTATTAATTTATAATTTGTAATAAACTTATCAATAGAATCATAATCATTCAGTTCGATAGTTAGGAAGTATTGTTATTGATTATTACTTAAATAGTAATTAATATCTTGATAATGATTCTTTAATATCTTAAATATTTCTACAATTTTTGAAAAGTGTGCATTTTTATTTATATAGTGGAGTGTGAAAAATTATTTTGGTGATACACTTTGCGTACACTACCGAGCCAAACAGGCCCTTAGGTATTTATTCATTATATAGTCAACATTGCTCTGTGTGCCTCCTTCTCTCCTTGTCGAATATTATACATCTTACCTAATTCCTACTAGCACCCGTACCAGCCCCGTGATAGAATCAAATCAAAACAAACGATACAAATTTGAAGTACATATTATATTATATTGCACAGCAAGCAATGTGAGAGAATCAATTCAAATAAATTTCAATAGGAAATATTTTAAGATCAGAGTGGAGCTCGAGAAGATGATTCATATTACCGACCGTCAAAACTCGACTACCTACACCGGATTTTGCTTAGTCCTATTGATGAATAAGGTTTATGTCGTCTTTTGACGGTACCGTCCACCTCCGTACGAGTGTATCCTGTTTATTACTTTTATACGGAAAACGGTCCGAAGACCATCCTAATGGCGAATCATCAAACGTTGAACGCAGGTCAACTTTCAAACGTTTGGAAGTATTTTCATCAAATTTCTCCTCTCCTTCTTTCCACATTTGTCTGAAGAAGGCCTTCTCGTCGTAGAGCGCGGGATCCTCGAGATCGAAGCCAAATGTGTTGATTCCAGTTTTCCTGACAAAATCCTTCCACATGTAAGGACCACTGGTGACCCAAGGATCAGGTGTGAAGCCGATGATATCACAGATTTGCTTGAAGTCTTCTTTGATAACCCGCCTGGTCCAACCATCTAGAGCGCATGAGGGCCACCACGCCCTTTCGGGTTTGAACTTAACTTCGGTCATTAACTCTTGGTACGGAACGGTCAAGATCCTGTCCGCAGCAACAAATTGTCGTTTGTTTTTTTGTATATTTGACATGGGGGTTTTATATAACCGGAGCATTTTTATGTTGAACTCATCTAGTCGAGGTAATCCATTAATTCCTCTCTGTTCTATCACAAAGTGTGTTGTGTCAAACCAATCCATCCCAAGGAATCGACACATATCTCTATGTTGGGAGTAGCTCCTAATGGTTGCCACGCCAATCGTGGCTTCGTCGACACCTTTGATATCGACAGCCAAAACCACAACATGATGGCCACACATTTCGACACTGCCATATTTTGAGATCTCTTCAATGGACTTTGGAGCCAAGCGATGCCCATGTGGAAGAAAAAGAATACAGCCAGGTGCAATATCCCACAGAGGTACATAGTTATTATCATCAGGTGTTGGCTCGTATCTTTTGAGGTCAAAGTATGGATTGAATATCTTGTTCCACACTTTCGATTTCTGCCATTGAGGCATAGGGACAGGTTTCGTATCTGTAGGAGTTGGCTTCGATTCCTGCCATTGAGGCATAGGAACAGGTTTCGGATCTGTAGGAGCCGCCTTAAACACGCTACGAGAAGATACACCACTCCTGAATGTATTTGCGAATATCGGAGTCGGCTTCAAATCCTGCCCTTGAGGCATAGGAACAGCATTCTTATCTGTAGGAGCCACCTCCAATACGCTACGATAATATACACCACTCCTGAATGGATTTGTGAATATCGGAGGCGGAGCCACACCTATTTCAGGTGAATGGAGTTGGAGGGATCGTGAATGATACTGGAAGCGGTATCTGGAATCGTTTGAAGCAATCGGTACGCGATGCCAAAAATTGGCAGTCGGCGACCTTCTCCTTCGAATGAAGAATCTCTGAGATAGACTTTTAATCATTGATGAGTCCTCAATATGGTAAAATAAGAGGAGATGTTATGCGTATAGCTCTTGTGCGTATAACTCGTTCAACTTTGGAGAAGGGATTGATTGCGTGGGACAGGTATTGCGGAGGTATTTGAGGTCATAATCGGGATTTTGGGGGTTTTTTTAAAGACAGTTCTGCACATGCGGTATAAGTTAGCCTGAGGGATAGGAGAGTAATCGGAGTGTAGTGTATATGGAGATAGACTTACCAGAGAATTGACAGATCTCTATGATCGTAAAATACTTATGAGGACATGGTGGTCGGTCGGGGAGTGAGTGGAAAGAGGTCCTCGTGAAGGAAGAGAAGATACAGTAATAAATAAATTATCGGGAGTTGAATTCATTGTAATTGTATGTGCATTAGGTAAGCGTGATAAAAACAGTACTGTCAGTGCGAGTGAGAGTGAAGATAATCATCAAGATTTACGGGTATTGACTTTGATATACCGGTAGAAATGTTTCAATACATGGTGATATGGTATAAATATGGTATGTATAGTATTGATATAAATTTAAAATGTCAACTAAATCTTCGACCCAACTAGATACCCTGTAAAGATGATCTTCTAGTTCAACTAACTGTAGGACTTTCTAGATCTACAATATCTATCTATTCTTTCAATTCCAGCCACAATCAGAATCTATCTCTACCTAGCTAGCCGTAGGTATCATACCGGTGATACACACGTTCGTTCATCTAACAGTAACGTAAAGCAACTTCTCGGACCCTGCCCATCTATTCCCATGTGACCGGTAACTACCCTTCTTTATTTCATGTTTCATCTAATCCAGTCCTCGTTTCTCTACTTCTAATATCTCACCCAAACACCTTATTCATACCCTGATGCGCCAATTCCACACCCAAAAATGTTGCCGCATTGGCAGGTACTGCTCTGGCCAATGCCGGTCCAAATCCAGGGAAGAATGCCTTGAATCCTCCATTTCTATACAATCCCTTTATCACACCTCCAACTGTTGGTTTCCCATCCATAGTTTGTAATCTCGACTTGACGGTATCGACTGGGAAAACTGGAATCCACATTGCCACACCTGCGCATGCTCCCGCTCCGGTAATCGCCAATAAACTTAAATCCTTCCCCGGTTTTCCGGTAGTGGGGTCTATAGGAGTTAGGCGACGCTTGATGTATTCGTATGTTGCGAAGTATGCAGCGCTTCCAGGACCATCTCTTGCTAGTGTAGCAGCAGAACCTCGGAAGACGGATTTAATACCGCCCTCTTTATACAGTTGCTTCACGACATCAACACCACCATTATATTTTGGCTTTTCCCCAGGCGCAAGGTCTTTTTGACCTTGGATTTGCAAGAGTACTTTGACACGTTCAAATGGGGCGGTGATGATGGTTTGGGGAATGGCGGAGAAGAAACCAGCGGCACTGACTTGAGCGATTGTAAGAGGTTCGTGAGGAGCAGTAGAAGTGAAGTTGCGGACGAGATTCTTGCCTACGTCGAAACCCCAGAAAGATACAGCGACTATGGAGGAGAAGGAACATTAGTGATTTGTTTTGGGAACTTGGAATTCGAAAGAAATCATGAACCATATGGAATTAGGGGAAGAAACAGAGAAAACATACACATAGGAGTAACACCCACCAGCGGGGCACTCACACCCGCATACAAACCTCTCGCAAGTCCCTGCTTCGCGATAGATTTCGTAACAACATCAATAGCACCTTTATAAACCCCCTGTTCCGCAGTCTGTAAACGAACTTTAACCAAATCGAATGGATGACCGACAACAACTGCGCAAATACCACCGAATCCTCCAGCAGCGAGTGATCGAAGTCCTGCGAATGATTTCTGGATGACAACTTCGGCTTCTTGTTTTAATTCCGCTTTGGATTCGGGGACGTGGGGCAGATTTGGGGTGAGGGAGTCAATCTTTTGATTTATTTGAGCTCCTGGGGAGGGAGAGGGAGAGGAGGACGAAGACATTGTTGGGAAAGGAGAGGAAGAAAGTTGCAGAGAGATTGAATTTAATTGTGCAAAATGGAAAACAACAACTTTCTGTAGAGGATATGTTTTATTAGAGGATTGATATGTGTGAAGCAAGCTTGTGATCGTAATGAGGGATGTTTCCTAGCCTCACAGCTGTACCGCGGGATTGTGGCTTGATAGCTTGAAGCTGTTTTGCCGAGGCAGGCCAACATCCATCCCACCAACCGGTCGGCCATCGGTAAAAGAGATTACCGAGAAGTATCGGACAGGAGGGGAAATTCTTAATGGACATTTTTCATGGTGTGGTACATATCAAAATGTGCAGTGTTGCTGGTGCAGTGTTGTCTATTTCGAGATGTAGTGTGGTAGTATGAGAAAGTATAAAGGTCAGAAAGGAAGAGTCATATGATAGTGTGATAGATAGTGTTGTGTGAATGACCATAATATACGAGAATGATGTTGAGAATAAGTCAAAAGGTTGTAGAGGTGATGAATAGGATTGGACATTATTTACCTTGTAATCCCAATGAATTCTGCTTATCTGATGGTATTTCTGCCCAAGCATTCTATGAGAAATACTTTGCAGGTATTCGTCATATCTTAAAAGTTGATACATAGTAGTGAAGTGATACATGGGTAGTGAAGAAGGGGGTCTTCGGATAAGAGTCTAATGATGAAGGGGTATTTTTGTTAAGGAAGCGTTAGGCGTTTTAGTCTAGACCATAAAATCCCTGAATCGTCTCATACAAGAGCCCACCAGAGCCTCATATTCTAGTAATGAAACAAGCAACTTCCTAGTCTTGTATCAGTGTAAGCCTCACGAGAGAACCAATGATGCTCTATTCCAGACTACCAGAACCCACCTGCGGAGTACTTGTGCAAGGTTGGAGCTTGAGTTGTCGGTGGTTTACTTTTTATGGATCACCTAATTGCATCTAAAACCATATATTTATATATGTTAAGGTTGTTAAGAGTAAAAGTTATAAATGGATGCTTATTTCAAAATGATCTCCAGGTTCTTTAATTGTATACCTAACCTTAGGTACTCAGCAGGTTTGCACCTCATGCTGGTGAAGGGAGGGTTTAGCCACTGCTAGCAAATAACTTCAATTGCCCAATAGACCTTTCAATATCGTGGGCTTCTTCATGGTATTGTATATTTCGGGGGACCTTATTCCACAATATAATGCCGGTACCATGATGGCGGCAATGACATTGGGCTGCACACCCGTGTCGTACTTCAGTACCAAGGTAACTCCATAATGGCGCCTAAAGAAACCGTCACTCGGCTCCACCACTCGACAACACACATTATCTCGCATTCCCTTTCTCACCCTCCTTTCAACCACTTGACTTGAATCTAACTACTGTACGGAGTATGAACCACGCATGAATTGACAACTATTTGTGCTATACAACCATGTTTTATATATTCAAAAGTACCCAAACTCGCATATATGGTGAACTAGGAACATGGTAAAAGGTAAGATTAATTAATTGTAAGGCAATCTCTATTATAATGATCAATGATCAATGATCTCTTGAGCATCAATCGTTTCAATTGTTTATCTCCAAGTCTATTTGATTTATTTAATTGCATGTTTTGATAGTTTCCAATGCCAGTTAATCTTCAACCTTCTATCGGTACTGCTGATATTAGCAAAAAAGAGAAACCAAGAGGAGAGGGTTCAAGAAGAATGTCGACCAACTCACGACCTCCCCTATCGCATCGCATACGGGCATCATTCGAAGGAAAGAAATCCCAAGATTCTACCAGTCCCATACATTCGAACTTTTCCGTTAGCAGTCTAACAGATCCGGAAGTCCTTCGACAGGCAATCGATCATGCTATTTCTGGAGATGCCTTCCAAGCTGGAATTGCTTCCCACATAGCAAAATTGCTCAAACCTGAGATCAAAACGGCTCTAGATACAATCGAACCACTTGTCAATGCGGTTTTACAACATGAGATACTATTAAAGAAGACCAATATTGGTTTGGACAGTGTTTTGCTGAGGTTGGGTCTGATGACAGATGAAGATGGAGCAGTTGATCCGACCAAAGCAAGACTCAGTGTTCATGGCGCACTGAATTCGCATCCGACATCAGAAGATATACCACTACCCTTGTCGTACACTTCAACGTCTGCTATCCCAGGCTCTTTTTCCAACGACCGGCCAAAACCTCTCTTCAATCGAAATGTTACGCATACGGCCGGAGAGCTATCCCAGATATCCAACTCGCTGGATCTCAATAATAATAAATTGGGAAGAGTGGTGGAAGGAATTGCGGAGATAACCAATTTGTTAAGATCAAACGAACGTTTGGGTAATTTGAAAGAACGCCCGGAGAAGAATGCTACCGACACTTCGGTGCAAACGCAATTAGACGAATTGCAGGGGAATGTTAGGGTAATCATTACACGAATTGGTAACGATCTAGGCACGAATGTAAAGGCCATTAATGATCATCTGGCTGGCGGAACACCCGGATCAGAGACAGCGGTAGGAACCAATGCGGCCGATACTAAGCTTCTCCATGCCATATCTTCTGGGTTGGATTCTTTGAAGGGAAATTTAGATACAGGCACTGCGTCACATAACGAATCATTGGGATTGTTGAGAGAACAAGTTGCGGCTTTACAATTAGCCCTCGATGCCCAGAAGGTAATATTAGGAGAGATCAAAGAAGCTGATAACAGTGTCGAAGTTTTGGCCGGTATACAGAAGTCAAATGATTCGCATGAGGCGCATACCGCGATGTTGGGAGAACTCAAGGAGAAAAATGTTCAGCCTACGGATGTATCCGCTCAACCAGCTTCCACTTCTGAAGATGCAGAAACGCTTCAAATCATTTTGACAGAAGTGCAAAAATCTAACGAGGCCCATGAGAAACACCGTACTGCGCTAGAAGGCATCAAAGACTCAGACACAAGTGCAGCCATATTAGCAGAAGTTCAAAAGTCTAACGACTCACACATTGCTCATGCAGCTACTCTAGAAGCTCTCAAGACTTCGCCTCCTCTACCATCAGAAACAACTGCCTCCGTCGATTTAGGAAACCTAGAGACCCAGATGGGACGTATTATCGAAACGAGCACAGTAGTCTTGGCCGAAATCCAAAAATCAAACGAATCACATATTTCTCACGCAGCTGCGTTGGAAAACATTAAAGCCTTGCCAACGCCACCCCCTGAAATTATCCCGTCAAGCGTAGGAGTTGATTTGAGAGGTCTCGAAACGAATATGGGAAGTATAATTGAAAAGCTAGATAATCACGCTGCAGTCTTGGATGAAATCAAGGCAAAGCATGGTTCTGTGTCAACAGGAATTGATGCTAGGTCTTTTGATGGCCATTTTAGCTCGATTACTAGTCTGCTGGAAGCCCACACAGCGACGTTGGAGGGAATCAAAGCTACTGATATACCGACTACTGATTTCGGTTCACTTGCTGCTGTGCTGGAGGCTCATACGGCGACTTTGGAAGAGATTAGGGCTAGGGATATTCCAATGGCTGATTTTAGCCTGATTACTGCGATGCTGGAATCTCATACTGCGGTTTTGGAGGAGATTAAGTCTAAGAATATTCCCGTTGCCGATTTCACTCCAATCACTTCTTTGTTGGAAGCTCATACTGCGGTTTTGGAGGAGATTAAGACCAAGGATGGAGGACCTAGCGTTGATTTAAGCCCAATTACTAATATGCTGGATGCTCACACTGCGACCTTGGATGAGATCAAATCGAAGGATATCCAGGTTGCTGACTTCATTCCAATTACTTCTATGTTGCAACATCACCACTCAGCAACTTTACAGGAGATTAAGGCTCAGGACGGATTATCTAACATTGATTTTAGTCCAATCACTTCTACTTTGACATCTCATAGTGCGATTTTGGATGAGATCAAATCGAAGGATGTTCAATCTAGCACTGCACCCGCGGCAATCAATATGGAAACGTTCGAGACACATTTCAATTCGATCACCGGTATGCTAGCAGCACATACAGCTGCTTTGGACGAGATCAAGTCAAAGGCAGGTTCGTCTAACTCAGCTGTGCCTGCAGAAATCAACACCGAAGCTCTCGACAAGCATTTCGGTTCTATTACTAGCATGCTAGAAGCACACACGATAGTATTAGAGGATATCAAGTCAAAGGATACTACACCTAGTATCGGACCAACGGAGCTTAATACTGTAGCGTTTGACGGATACTTCAATTCCCTGGCTGTTATGCTAGAGTCACACACCGCGGCATTAGACGAGCTCAAGTCAAAAAATACTGAATCTTCACGGTCATTGATGCCAAGAAGTGAAAATGCTGATTTTAAATCTTTCGAATCGCATTTTACGGCTATCAAGAGTGCACTTGATGCTCACATGGTTGTGCTTGATGACCTCAAATCCGAGGCCCTTGCCAAGAATGATTTGGATGCGATGGTAGTAGACAATATGCTAGAACCACGTATCATGGCTATTAAGAGCACATTGGATGCACATACTGCCGTTCTGGAGGAATTAAAATCCAACACCTCTACGACTAACGTTACTGCTTCTTCGGAAACTCGCAATGATACTCTACCTAAATTACTGGAAACTCTCAGTAGCCACACGAATCTACTAAGAGAAATCAAGAATGCAGATGTTAATGATGAAATTTTGACGGCGTTGCATGAATTACAAGAGAGGACCTCAACAGCTTTCAATACTCTCAAAGAATCGAATGTTAGTGATGAGATACTAACTGCATTGCATACTTGCAACGACTCTCAAGAGAAGTTGGATAAATCGTTGTTGGAACTCCAGATAGCGGTGAAAACTTCTGGGTCATCTGAACAGAGCGGCGAGAAACCAATTGTGCCCAGTGAAGAACTTGAGTCTCCAAATGGTGGCGTGGATCTGAGTGGACTGGAAACGCAAATCAGCGCCGTAATTGCGATACTCGAGGGTCAGAATGGGGTTCTGGGAGAGATTAAGGGAGCTATGAATTCCGGAATAGAGGCACATAGCTCACATACCACAGCTCTGGGTGAGATCAAGGATGTAACCATTGCTTCAAATGAATCTCATACGGCCCATGGGGCAATCTTGCTGGCATTGAAAAATGCAGCCAATTCATCGAATGAATCCCATGGTACCCATACTGCCACACTTGGAGTGATAAGAGATGCGACGGCTATTTGGAGTAAGGCACATAGTACCCAAATCATCTCTCTGGGCGAACTTAAGGAAGCAATGCAGGTCTCTAATGAATCTCACAATGCTCACACGAGCACCCTGGGAGATATAAGAGAGGCAACTGCTAGCTTGAACGAAGCGCATCTTACGCATGCTACTACCCTTGGTGAGCTCAAGGGGGCAATAGATGCCTCGAATGAATCCCACGCATCCCAAGCTACCGTCCTGGAAGGTCTGGAATCTATTCAATCAGCACAGTCATCTCCGGATACTATCGTCGAGTCAACACCAGCATCAGTCCTTGATACAAGCGCATTGGATACTCAACTCACAAGCATCATGAGTACTCTCGATTCACAAACATCAACACTGGGAGAAATTAAAGGAGCTCATACCTCTCACACGATAACTCTAAGTGAAATTAAAGAAGCAACATCTGCATCCAATGAATCACACAATTCGCACGCAGCCATTCTGAGTGAGATCAGAGATTCGAATTCCCCAATCAAAGACATAACTGAGGTTTTGGAAACGCATACCAGTCTATTGGAGGGTCTAAAAGAAGACGCCGAATCAAAACATGATAAAGTGAAAGGTGATATTGAGGGATTAGAAAGGATTGTCGAGAAAACTTCAAGCAAGCACGAAGAGAACCTTTCGAGGCATGAGGAGTTAATCAAGGAACATGGAGATTTAGCCAGAGAGAATCATAATGGGTTAAAGGGTACGATTGCGGGGCTTGCTTTGGGCGGAATTGTGGGGGCTGGAGTCATGAAAGCTGTGGAGGGCGGGGAAGATAAAGCTCTTGATGTTGCTGAACAGGTTGAAGAAGTGCCGGAAATTCTTGTAGGTTCCACTTTCGACGATCAAGGTTCTATGCGTGATTGCTGGATGTTAGATACTAATTGAATTCCACAGACCGAAGAAGATAAAATTCTTGAGGAGCCGCCAGTATTGGAATCCGAGGTACCGGTAAATTATATCGTCGGTACTTGTAGAGATTCAAAGACGCTAATGTAATTTCTAGGAGGTGGAAGAATCAGCTTCTGAATCTGCACAATCGCAAATAGAACCTCTCGTAAGTTTGAGTTTTGTCAGTGTCTCTACTATGGATTTTACTGACGATTCGAAAGGTCGAAGACGAAGTCACAGTGGAACCGGAAGTAGAGCTAGAGGTCGAAGTCTCGGTAAGTAGAAGAACTATCTTAATATTGCTGCCCTCAAGCGTTCTCAAATTGAACGTTTCACTAATAGAAATTATAGGTGGAAGATGAAAAGGCTGGAAGTGAAGAAGTGCTAGTAGATCAAGAGCTAGAAGTAGATGCTATTTTGACCGAGCCCGAGGTAATCGTAAGTTTCGTCCTTGGTCAATGATTCTGGGTGTGTTTCTTAAAATATCTGACGTGTTCAGCAGGCCGAGCCCCAGGAGGATGTTTTAATACCGGGTCCTGCGCAAATTGAACCGGAATTAGAACCGGAATTAGATATAGAAGCTTGTGTAAGTTACCATCGGTTTTTCATACATCAATATTGTCGTGCAGCAAAATATTCGTCAAGTAGCGACTGACAAAATCGTTTTAGGTCGAGAAGGAAGCTCCAATTGAAGAGCCAACTCCCGGGGAACCAGAAGCTCCTGCACAGGAAATCGGAGTTGAAGAGATAATCTTAGCAGAAGAACAATCAGAGCGAGCTGTAAGTTCACCTATATATAGTTGCTACTTACTTGGTGAAAACTTACCATCTATCATAGGCTTTGGAGACTACAGACGAAACGCCAACTACTGAGCCCCTACAAGTTCAAGAGGATCTTCCTACTGAAGAAACTATTCCTCAACAGGATCCTATATCAGTAGAACCCGAGATACCAGTAAGTTCAACTGGTTTATTCAGTGACCTTCATGTGACTAATTCGACCTTTTTTAGTCTGAATCAAACTCAGAGGATGACGATGTAACGAGTACCAAAGAACCAGAGGTCATTGAAAAAGCAGAAGAGATTCGGACCCCCGTTTCAGAGTCAATCGAAGACCCAGTTACTAGCCAAGACTCGTGAGTCATGCCAAAATTTCCTTACACTCCATAATGCTAAGATCTCCAAAGTCCTGTTATGGAAGAACCTCAAGCACCCGAAAGCGAATCAATGTAAGTTTTCCCAATATCCAATTTTTTCAAACTAAATTTGATGGGAATTAACAAAAGAGATTCAATTATAGACCTGATAGCGACATCGTCCCAGAATCATCTAAAGGTGACTCGGAGCCCGAACAGAGCGCTGTTGTGGAGGAAATACCTGTTGAGGAAGAGATTATTGCGGTGGAAGGGTAAGCTTATATTTATTGCCCTTGCGTGAAATTATACATTGGGGATAAGGGCGTGGAGGGTGTCGAGTTTGAGAGTTTAAGGATTACAATTTACAATGCTAATATGAGATTATAGGTCTGAGGAAGAAGCAGATGGAGAGAGAATTGGAGATGAAATACTTGGAGATGGAGATGGAGATGGGGATGATGTTATAGATGGTGATGATTTGAAGTTAGTCCGATTTTCCCAATCTTATTGGAGTTTCGAATGGTTGATACTGATACACAGATTTAGGTCTACCGAGGAAAAAGACCTTGTTGTAGAGGAAGAGAAGTAAGTTGATAGTCCGGAATTGTTTTGAATTGAATTGTATGCTGATGGCACATAGGCCCACGGAGGAGGTGGTTCTAAATACCGCAGAGGGAGAGATACATCATCATGTCAATAAAGTCATGCCAATTGAAGAAGCGAAGTAAAATTTTCCATACAGATTTATAAATGAAGCTGCGACTAACAATTCAAAGACCCGCTGAAGAATCAATTACAAAAGTCTTGACACAGAACGTTCCCGCCCATTTAGAAGACGCTCTTCCTTTGAAAACAGACGGAAAGCTCCCAGAATCTGAGGAACGTGATACAGCAAGTTCCAGCTATACACCTACAATAAGCAAGGATGACGCTGTTCTTTCAGAGTCACCGATTGAGGTCGAAAATCTGGTTCTTGAGCCTAGCATTGAAACTTCCATGATGGGGAATAAGGAAATTTCTACCGAGCCCCTGATTACCGAGTCTAGCAGCGAGGATCATCCAGTTATTGAGGAAACGGTTCCAGAACCACCGGTTGAAACTCAAGAAACGGCTTTAGAAGCGGAATCTCAAGAACTTAGAACGGAGGATATCTCTACCGCGACTACGGTGCAAGTTATTGAGCCTTGTCAAGAGGAGGACTCCTTGGAACTAATCGCAGAAACCGAACCCGAAATCGAAACCGAAACCGAAACCGAAATCGAGACACTTGTTCAGGATTTGGGCGATCAAATTCAAATTCAAATTCAAATTCCTGTTGAGAGTGAGAGTGAGAGTGAGGTACTTGTAAAGTCTGGAAAATCTCTAGTCAGCAATGATAGCGACGGGGAGATATCTAGCGAAACGACAAAGGTCGTCGGATTATTGCTGGAAGAAAGCATTCTGGAACCAATTGTCGAAAGTGTGATACCGATTTCGGTGTCGGAGTTGAAGGATCATGATCAAGATTTACCTACCGGTACTGTGAAAAGGGAAAGTGAGGAGGGATCTGTGGGAATAGAGAATTTGGAAAGAGAGAATTTGGAAACCGAGAATTTGGAAGTCGGCAATGAGAGTATATCAAGCGAAAATGCGGAGATATTTGTCGATTCTATACAAGGAGAAAGTATTCCGGAATTAGTCGTCGAAAGCGAGGCACTCGTTTTGGAGTCAAGTCATCAAGATCAACTTCCTGTTGAGAGCGAGAAGAAATCTGTGGAAACAGAGAATCCGGAACTCAGCAATGATGGTATACCCAGCGAAACTGCGGAGATGTTCATGGAGCCCTTGCAGGAAGAAAGCATTCCGGAATTAGTCGTCGAAAGCGAGGCACCTGTTTTGGAGTTAAACCATCAAGATGAGCCTCCTGCTGAGGGCGAGAAGAGCGCCACGGAATCCGAAATCAGCGAGCCTATTGGTCTAGACTCAGAAAGTGTGGAAGATCTCCTCCCATCGATTGAGTGTGAGAAGAAGGCGTTGGAAATAGAAAATCAAGAACCTAATCATGAAGCTATACCCACCGAAATCGAAGAAAATCCCGTGGAGCTCGCTGGAGACCAAAATCCAGGCTCAATCATCGAAGCCGAGATACCCGTTTCCGAGTTGGATGCTCAACATCAATTTCCTGTTCAACGCGAAGAAAATTCTCTGGAGCCTGAGGTAGGCGAACCTATTGTCAAAGAGCTGCAAAATTCGGAAGAACAGCTTTCGCCGCCAATAGGCGATGAAGAAACGGTAATTGAGACGACAACGAAAGACGCTGTTCATGACTTAGTGATTGGGCATGACGCGCCAGAATCAATTGAAGAAGCCCAAATTATTGCCAAAGACGAGGAAACACCTGAATCAATCGAAGAACAGGTCGTCGAGATACCTAATGAAGGACCAGCCACCGAGAGCCAGTCCCCGATATCTAACGAAGAAGATTACGTCGTGGAGGAATCACCAGAAGAAGACACTCCGAATGCAGAAGTCAAGAACGAGAATCTCGCAGGTATACCCGAAACAAGCGAAGAGGTTCAACTTTTCGCCGAAAATGAGGAGAAGCCAATCTCGATGGAAGAACAGGTCATCGAGGCACCCCACGAGCAAGAAGCTCTCGAGAATGAATTCTCTGTGCCTGAAGCTGCTATTATAGAAGACATAGAAGATGCCAAAGTTCGAGAGGAAATCGCTGCCCTAAACGCGGAGCTGGCGATGATTATGGCTGGGGAGGAGGGAAAAGGGAGAGATCCAATGGTCAATGAGACAGAAAAGTCTGGAAGAGATGACACTTTAGTTGCGGCCGAGATAATTTCTAGAAATGAGCCAAAGGAATTGCAGGTCAAACATAATACCGAAGAACCTATCGATATTCCGGAGGAACAACCACCGATGGAGAGCCAGGAATGTTTGGAAGAACAACTTGAGACCGAGTCACTACACACCGATGTAATCGAGCTGAAAGAAGAGCAAATGGACTCTGTGGCTGGCGAGGACAACTCATGCGAACCTAGCCAAGAAGATATTTCTGAAATGCCTGTCGTAACATCAAGCGATTTGAAGGAAGAAACTTCTCGCACAGAGCCCAAGATCGAAACGTTGGAGAATACTATCATTCAATCTAACAATGAGTTGCTCCAGCACGAGGAAAACATTCCGAAAGACAAACAAGATTTTACTCAAGGCCAGACACGAATTGCTGAAGATGAGAATACACCCGAAGAAAAGTCTCTCGAAGTCTCTGCTGAATCCGAAGAAAGAATTTCCGAAAGTCGGCCGATAGCCGGAGAGCCTGAGGACGAAGATATCAGCAATGAAATTGTACCTGTCGCGGTTGAATACGTACCTGGAGAAGGGGAAGTGCTAAAAACTGAATCAGCTTCTATCTCAGTTCCCGTCGAAACTGAGTCAAACGATCGTGAAAGCAGACATATAATTGATGAACGTGTCCTTTCGACCGACATTGAGGGAAATCAAAGTTTGCCCGATCGACCCGAATCAGAACCTACTATTGACTCAGAGCCACAAATATTGGAAGCAGAAACCATCCCTGAAGACGTCGCCTTCGAAATTGGATCGAAAGATTCTGAGAGCGAAACGGAACCCGTACTTAGCTCTGTCCAAGAGAGTTCGACTATTGAATTGGAACCCGCGGTCGATAATCGCCCAGATGTAGAGGGTGAGAGTCAAGAATTGGACAATGGAAGATTACCGGTCGAGCATCTTGAAGTTATCGATACACAGCCAAGCTACGAAGAACACTCAAAGAACGCCAGTAGCGTGGAAATTGGGGAGAGTGTTCCCCTAGAGAGCGGAATTCTTCACGAAAACCTCGGCGATTCAAAAGAGTTGGAGACGAAATCGGTGATCCCAGAAAATACATCTAACCAAACTGCTGGCAGCGAGCCGGATGAGGACAATAATACCGCTGAGGAGAAAATCCAAGAATTCGAGTACGTGGTGGAAATTCAATCGACTGAGTCTAGTCACGAAGAAATTTCCACCGCAGATAAAAGTCAGCATGATAGCGAACCAGCCCAAGATGAAATCGCCTCCAATATTCCTCTTCCCAGCGAACTGATTCAAGACGAGCCGATTGCCTTAGAGGAGGAAGAATATTCTAACACTCAATTTTCGCCCGCTCGAGATACCGTTCAGATCGAGAACCATCCGATCTCCGAAGATGTCATTCCAGTCGAGAGTCGAATCGCTGAGAGTGGTTCCATTCTTCCGAATGAAGATGAAATTGAGTCCGAGGGCGAGCCAGTTTCCAGAGAAGTGCCAGTCGTGTCTGATAATCAATATATTTCCGAAGAAAGTATTCCTTTGAAGTTGGAGCCCGTCCTTGATAGCGAGGAAACGGCGATCGAAGAAAGTAATGAGCATACACCACAGGACGACATCTCTCACGATCAATTTGAGAGCCAAATCATTCCACAAATCGAATCACAGATACAACCTATCATAGAAGACGTTCCTACTGTACCGGAGAGTTCCGAGCTTCCTGAAGATTCTGTCTCTCTCGAAGACGAAGCCTTGATTGAGAGCGGTAATTCTGTGATAGAGCCAACGGATGATCAAGTTTTGGAAAACAATCAAAATGTTTCAGACGAGATACGCGCAGGAAGAAAGGACGAACTGACATCTGAAGATAACATATCCATTTATCCTCAAAACGTCGAGCCAAAGTCTGTTGTGGAGAACTATAGACAAGAACAAGGCTTTCCAAGTCATAAGCAATCACTGGAACCAAAAACATCAGCCAGTGACCACATCGATGCCGACCGATCAGAAAGAAAATTAAAGCCAGAAGCCACCCAGCTCGACTTGAAGGAGGCTTACTCAACTAGTCAAGCCCATATTAACGATCCTGAAGCTGCAGTGAAACAAAGATATTCAAGCTTTGAGGAAACTCCTCTTGATACACGAACATCATCTAATCACCAAGAAAATAGCGAGCGATCGGAGCCAGAGTTAGAGACTACCTACGCTAGTCCAAATTATCGGCAAGGCCACTTATCAGAATCCCACCCAACTCAAAATATTCACTTCAACGACCCCGAACTTGCACAGCACCAACCAATAATACCCGCAGATCAAATGATGCACCAAAATGACACACCAACAAGCCTACCAACAGCTCTGAGTGCGAAAATGTCAACCGAAACGTTACCTGCAGGTGAAGAGTCGCGACGACCTTCAGTATCTCCTGAATCTGATTTGAGGTTACCGGTGAAAACTTCAGAAGGTGTTGAATCGATCCGCGAGAATCCTGGCTCTGGAACCGAGCCCATCTATCCAATTCATGACGAGCCAGTACGATCTTCTACATCTTCGCGTTTACCAATCATGAGCCCAAGAGCCGCAGACAACATCACAGAAGATCCTAAACCTGAGAGTCAAAGCAATTATCCCATCTACAATAAACCAGAACCAGAACAATCCTCCAGCATTTCGCAAGGATTTAACATTAATGCACCTGATGCACCAATAAAAAATCAAGACGCCAATCAAACCATCTGCGAAAGTCCCCGGTCCGGGTCTGAAACCCTGCTCGGTCACTCTACGCATGACGAGCTAGCAGTACGGTCTTCTGAATCAGAATCACCACTGGTACAGGCACAGGCACAGGGATTTAACTTTGGTTTACCGGGCACTAGTACGACGCCTGTGGAGTCTCAGCGGGAAATACGAGAGCTGGAAATTCGCCAGCCGGAAAATGTAAATGTGAATAGGAGGAGTAATGTTCGGGATCTGTTGAGGCAATTTGAAGGGGGTGAGTCTTCGTCGCCTTCATTAGCATCATCATCAGCATCATCGCAAAATCGACTTAGCGTTTCTTCACCGCGAGATCGTGTTGGTACCGGTTCTTCTATTCCGCGCCTCGTGGATATCAGATCGTCTGGGAGAGAAAATAAGTTGAGTGGGGAAGGTGGTAGTGAGGGTGAGGGTGATGGTAAGAGTGAGAGATAGAGGGGAAGTGGGGTGCTGATGAAGAGGAGAAGTAGTTAAATAGGGAAGAAAAGGGATGCTGGAGAGGGCAAAATAATGATTTGGGGAAAGGGGGAGAGGGGGAGAGGGGAAGAGGGGGAGAGGGGAAGAGGGGAAGAGGAAGATGGGGCAAGATTGTGAAATAGGAGGGTGAGGGTGAGGGGCGAGAGTGAGAGTGAGGGTGGAAATTAAGATGAAGATGAAGATGAAGATATGATTGCATGAGCGAGCGAGAGATGCGTAATGAGTGATGCTTCGTGGTATTAGTATGGTATGTATTGTACCAAAGACTGAGCCGAAGTAAAGGGAAATTGTATGATGTTTTTGGTGGGTTGCGGGTTTGATTGAATGTATTTAGATATGCTCGAGTATATGATGTTCAGTAAACTGTAAGCATGGAAGGAATGAAAGGAATAGCGTTGGAGTTTATGTGTTTATATGTTTATGTTTATATGTTTATATTTTAGTTGAAATTTGAAGGTTGGAGGTTAACCGAAGATTACTCGAGTACTCGTAGAATGATTTACAATTGATTGCCAGTTTTTTTTTCACTGTTTAAAGGTTATATAGATGGATCGATCATAGTTCGTAAGTGCAATGTAAATTCATGATTATGTTAACTATGATTAATAATAAAATGCATGTTATATATGTATATATGAGTGCTATATTTAACCATCACTATCACTATCACCTGACGTAAATGTAAATGTAAATTATCAGATATAAATTACAGATATCTTAGAGGTCTTGATATAATTAGTCATTGACTCATTGACGAGATAGAAAGCTCGGGAGCATGTTTTGAAGACTAATTATGTTTCGTGGACGGTGGTTTGGAGACGAGGAGAGGAGGAGACGAGGGGTTTATGTAACTGGTATAAGGCAGTGGGTGATTTATGATGTATAATAGAGTCGGGGTTGAGGTTGAGGTTGAGAGTGAGAGTAAAAGTGGGATTGATGCTGGTGATGGATTATGTTTGTGGTGGATTTATGTTTGTGTTGGTGGTTTTGGTTCGGGTTTTGATTGTGGAGATGGATATGGAGATGGAGGGCGGGTTTCAGAGAGATAACAAGTTGTGAGACTGGGTTCCAAGGTATAGGATGGGATGGGGCGGGATAAGAGGGAGAATTAGAGGAAGAGTGCGTGGAGAGATAGAGATGGGATTGAAGGTTTAGACTTCATAAACTTCAACTCGATATATATCGGCATCTGATTTTCGTAATAGCACTAGCATGTACTCGTATACCGGTCTAGAAATCGAGAAGAGCTTTTAGTTTTGGGAACTCAAACTTAGACTTGCACTGGAATTTGAACTTAGATTTAAATTTTGAATCAATGGTATAGTGGGATTGCAGCTTGACGGTACATATATCGGTATGTTAGAATTAGTGTTAGTGCTAGTGTTAGTAATATATTCACACCAGGTCTGCACTGTGATATTTGCCTGTCAAGTAATTACTAGTAGTCGAAGCTTACAAGTTCCAAGGCTTGCACGGGTGAAACCGTGACTGCTGTGAGAACTTGAACTATTTATTATTTGGAATTTATGAAAGAGCCTGACTCCGAAGTAAATTCAGGTCATCGCGATATAATCACTGGCAGGTAGAGATTTGAGATGGGGACTTGGACTTGAACATGAACAGCACTAGTGTAAAGGGTCACGATGGAAACTAGTATGGGTACGGTTGATAAATAGAGTATTCAATAAGGAAGAGAAGGGAGAAGCGGAGCTTCTTCCTTTTTCTAATAGCAGAAGGCTAACTAGTACTAGTACGATAGGGTGGGAAGGTACTGTCGGGTGGTGCCCCCTGACAACTAGTGTCACGGTTTGGCTTTTATATTATAAAGGATACTGAGATAGATACTCATTTGTTGAAGCTAAAATGCTTGTAGTGAAATAAGGGTATACTCAAAGTGTTACTGTTCAAGTTGTATTTAGATATTGAAGTATTAAATTGTTGAAGTTTTGAAGTATTTCGTTACTTGTATCCCTAGGCTAGGCTGTGGACTCAAAGAAAGAATATATAGTGTATACTCAGAGTAGTAAATATATCTTTACTGCTAGTGTCTTCATTGTCTTACTCTTATATATATATTACAGTGAATGAATAACTTAAAGTAGAAGTGAATATATCGGGATAATGGTGAATGACTCGACTCTGCGGGCTAGATAATAATTCATAGAATAGCAGTGTAATTTTCGAAGTATATAGATGCTTATATACCATCCATTTGTCTAGAACTTGAATCATAAGAGTGTTCAACTAAAAGAACAAACAATTAGATAGTCTACTTTCATTCCTTTAATTAAGTACAAACTTTGATATCCAAGTATAAACATTAATCTCTTGTACTCGGTGGCACATACTTATATATATATTCGAAAACTATTCATCGCAACATCTCAAAACAGCATTGAAAAATCTTCAAGATAGAATATGATATCCACGCTACTCGAGTATATTCCTTAAATATCTCGTCTTGTGACACCAATTCATAATCTTAATAATTTGAACAATCCACATTTATCATTCTATAGACGTCACATCATATCACATGAATCCTCCTGATCTTCAGATTGGATTTAGACATTTAAGTAGTATAATTAATGTTCATTGTGGATCGGTAGCTAGAGAAGTATCGGTGAGCTGGAATTAGATTGGATATTCAAGTTATATTGCCTTGACGAATTGAGATGAATAGTCTATAAACCTTGAATCGGTAGAGATAGCCGAGTATTACTCATTAGGAGTGGTGAGATGGGTGCTCATAGTCTTCATCGAAATATGGAATTGGAATTGGACATCCATGTTGTGATTGTATGAAAGTTCACAATGAATACTTATTATCATTGAATTGAAACTGGACAATCGAGCTCTGTTATTTGGGATCACTTTGATAAGTATTCACAATATTCAATAGCAGATCGGATATTCAGAATGTATTTGCTAAAAGATATTAGATGGATGTTTATAATACGCAGGTTTTAAACATACAGTTATATACCATCTCACATCAACGAAAGAGTTACATTCACTTCACTACAAAATCACTCACTAACAAAAAACAACAAACATATCAGGCACAGACTATTGAATTCGTATTTGCAATATACTAACCCAGATCCGATTATACGAAAGAATCGTCCCAAGTAACCAGCCCAGACCACTACATCAAACCAAAGCATACGAAAAGAGAATTTCAAATTCCAGTAAGCATCCAGTAAACATCAGCCGAAACCCTTATAATGACTGATCTGAACCCAATCAACTAAACGATGTCGTCCCATTGCGCAAGCTGTAAGTGATCTTGAAACATTTCCTAGTACGTCTTTCGCTTGATAGCGACCACAATTGCTGTGACAATAGCTGCGATTGATCCACCGATGAAGAAGACAATTACAGCAGCCAGGATCTACATGGTACAAAGTTAGCCTATAGTCCAAAGAAACGATCGTACATTTTCAGGCAGGTACTAATATGAGTCGAACTTACGAATCTATACTCGAGATTACTTTTCTTCTGACTAGCACTCTCCAGATCCAGATCTATCTCCATTCTTGTAATAGGCGTATGAACGTGATCCTCCAAACGTTGATCCAAGGCATCCGAGGGATTAGGACCAGTATAGCTACGACCCGTAGCAGCCGGCGCAGCAACACAGCTGAAAGTAGGCGAAGCGGGCAAGGCATCAGCAGGAGCCGTACACTCATGATGATGATTGATGAGGGCCGAACAACCCGAGATGATACTCGCAGGACGAGAATGAACAAGCCACTCATCCGAAACATTAAGGCATCCATTAAGCACATTAGAAACCCACTCGCGATCCGAAGCCGTACTACTACCAAAAGTCGGGGCCCTGGTAAGTCTCGCCGCCGTTCCCTCGGTATAAAAAGCCTCCGCTCTGCGTATCTGAGCCTCGACATCCGATCCCATGAAACTCATCAGGCTACCCTCGCGAGGAACCGGTCTTACGTATTTCGGGCCGAAAACCGGGTGCCAGGTCGTGACTGAAATATCGGCTCCGCGCTCTAATCCGAGTTTGGGGAGTTGTGTTACGGCATCCATGTAGGTAGCGTCGAAGGGGCGAAAATTGAGGATTCCGCGCCAGACTTCGGTTTCGGCGGTGTCGTGGGCAAGATTGTAGTAGATGATGTCGGAGACGAGTAATTGGTTGTGTTCGGTGTTGCCTTTGTATGCATTGAATTGTTTGATGAGAACTGCACAGCGGGCTTCGACCTCAAAGCGATGAACGAATGTTTCTATGCAGAAACTTGGGTCATTTTGGCGCTGATCAACGTCCAGATAACCTGCTGGGACGACTGCACCATAGTGAGCAGACTTCAACTATAAGAAAAGCAGCAAAGATTAGTATAGATTTCTGGTTGAGGTTGAGGATGGTTATGGATTAATGGATTTCCTTACGAATTTCTTCCACTCTCCAGCAGCATCGGGATTCTTATAATCATCATGTGATTGAAACAATTCCTGTTCTTTGCCTCTCTGAATCACTTCTTTTCCTTTCTCCATGATAGCTTTGACTTTATCCATCATGATTGCTGTTGATGTATCTTGTCAAACAAAGGTCGGATTGGAGTTGTTATTGTGCGATATTATTTCGAGGAGAAGAAGTTGAGGCGAGATTGTTATGCGAGGTTTTTTTTTAAATATGAAATTAGGATGGGATAACCAAGCTCGACGCAACGCGATGCCTTCACTTTCAAATTCTTTCAGACTGAATAACATATCATCAATAAAAAGGATGTGGGAAGGGAGTGAAAGATGATAACACTTCTCAAAAGCAGATGTCTTTTGAATTGGCTTAACAGTATTACAAACTTTGAATTGGATCCAATAAAGAAATTCCAATATCAGCTCCTAATATAGACACAACAGAGTTGGTATAATCTTCTCCTAGTGATCTCTTGATCAGATTTGGAAGTATATGAGAAAATATATTGAAGGTCTTAAACAGGAAGTTCTTTAGTGGACTATTGATGAGTATAAAGAGTTGTAGAAGAAATATGTTAGGGAGTGAGAGAGGACGTCTTTTATAGTAGCTCTTTGCTTCCAATAGCTTGATTTTGAAGCTCATAGTATTCACTGATGATACAGACCCTGAGAGCTTGAGAAGGATATTCGTCCTAGGAAAGTTCTACACTCTTTCTATAAACTTGGTATCCACATTATTCATTGACAAAAACAGCCATATATGAAATAGAGAGGTATATGAGATATTATATTAAGGATTGAGAAAGAACACTCAAACATAAAGATCTGTCTTCCTCCCAAGTCATCCATCTAGTCTTAGCATCCTAAACACTCACCGATAGATATGACATTGAGGACTTGAGGAGAATGATTGTACCAGAATTTGTAGCAACCTTCTTTCTATCTCTTCTTAATGAGAAAATAGAGGTGTATGAGGGAAGATACTGAAGGGCTTATAGAAGATATCTTTTGAAAGAAAAATTTGCTCCCTTTACCTAGCAAATCAATGTCCTTGCAGCTTACTGACAGACGCAGACCTTGACAACTTGAGGAAAATCAAAGGAATATCTTCAGGTACGAGAGGCATGTCTTTTGTGCAAAGTTTGCCTCCCCTTCGCCTAGCTTGATATCCTGAACATTCACTGATAGACACAGATTTCGCAGATCTTAAGGAACAGAGCTCCCTTTAAACGGAAGCCCTGCCGCCCTTCGCATAGGCCCGATCTTCGCAATATTCACTGATCAACACAGTCCCCAAACAAAGTACTTTTCGCTTCGTAATTCTCTTCACACAGAATCTATGACGTGCCGCCCCGCAATTCTACACTCCAATGTCCACCCAAAAATCATTCCATACCCCTCTCCTTCTCAAATTCTCCTCCCAGCCACCCAACCCCATTCCCATCAAACTTTCATATCAGCTATCACCCTTCAACTCACCTCACCTCACCACATCCTCATCCTCATTCTTATCCACAATCCCAAGTCTCCCCGATCCTCCCCCCCCCCACATCACATAGCCCCAAAGTAAAAATACAACAAATGCCTCCTTTCCCACACCGCCAAAAAACACGTAGTGCCAAAAACCACGTAGAAAAGTAGTATAGCCGAAGACTATGATTAAGACTCTAGTTAGAAAGTGAGGAGATGCCTATCTACGAGTATATTGAGCTGCTCAATAACTTACCCCACTGAGATCCGAGTTTTCATTGAATGTTGGAGGATGCATGGTGAGATTCATTTTGATAGTGAGCGAATAATGAGTAATGAGCTGGATGCGAATGCGAATGCAAATACTGTGGAGTGGCGGTGGTAATGTGGTGGTATGAAGTGTTTCGAGGGATTGTGGTTGTGCTCTTGAGCAAGAACGTAAAAACCACGATGGGAATGCTGTGCCGCGTTGTATTCTGTTACCGGTACGAGATGTTGCAAGAATTTCGATTATAGTGCTCTTGAGAACTGTTATATGTGACGGCTATTTTGAAGAAACAGCGCGACCAGAAAAGACCCCGAAAGTTTGGGTAGAAGACGAAGTGGGAATTGTGTGTTTAGAGTATTTTGATATAAAGAAAATAACTGCTTTCCAACTATTCGTGATGGTACCAGGGCCAGAAACCCAATTGATAGGATCAAGCTTGAACCTTCTTATTGAGAGAACATACAAAACAAAAGAATTGTTGACAGTGTAAGATGATACGCTTGAGTAGTGATTGTAGTTATCGCGAAAAGTAAAATTAATATCGCCCCATCATCAACAAGTCACTCATATCTCTCCACCGCCATCTGCTCTCACGGCAACCACAAGGTTAACAAATCCAACCCATAAAGGAATGAGAAGAAGTTCTTGTAAATTAAAAACAAAATCGCAAAACTGTAGTCGTACAATCAAAATCTCTTTCCAATGCGATTTTCTTGGATTCAGGTGAATGTGTATTGACCACTCCATCACCAGAGTATACTCTATCTGAACCAAACAGGACAATTTGACCGCCCTAGAGGGGAGAGTGGAGAGTTGTCGTTATTCAAGCGGATTTAGTACGAACTGAGAAGCCCGAGCATATATCAACCGCCGCTTCTGGATCTCCTGTTCGTTGAACGGGTTCCATACGATGTTGAACACCATTCCACTGTATTAAAGCCTTTCGGATAATCAATTGAACAGTCAGTTCTCTCGGCGTCTGCAAAGTAAAATGACTTCTGTCACCATACTCGTGTAAAGAATACATACCGGTAGTCGTCAAATCGCGAAACACGTGACTTCAATGCAACTTTCACATGCTCATTACTTTCCTGAATACTTACCAAAAATAATAACCAGACAATTCCTGAAACATGGCAGATCCCATAGTATCCGTTATATGAGCCTGCAATCACGTCAAACGAATTATTACACTTGCGTGGGATGTTGCTGAGATACTCCACATCATTGGTCAACTGGTATGCGGAAGCGAAAGATGGCGAAATGACTGCAGTCATCACACAATATGTCGGCATCCCATCCAGGGATAAGAGCAGAGCATAAAGATATCAATGCGTGGCCCCAATATGAAGAATTCTATGTTCGCTTTCAGATAACGGCGTTAATGTAAAGTGCTTGTGTATTATATCATATCGATCAATTTGAATGTTGGATTGGATTTATTTCGACTTGGAAGTTTATAAACGGAATATGGGATTGAGGTTTGAAAGAGTTGCCGTAATCGGTGCGGGCGTCAGTGGTCTGGCGGCAGCAAGACATCTCATAGATTATGGACTGGATGTAACAATCTATGAGCGATCGTCGAAACCAGGTGGTGTTTGGTGAGTTTTTTAACCTATCACTTTTGGTTATCGAAGGCTGCGAGTAAGAAGTGATACTGACAAAACGATCCAGGGCATATGATGAAAGGAAACCGCTTGAAACGAGATATCCATCTGTTTTGCCATCGGTTGCGGGCCTCTATTCAGATGTGGACTCAGATTCTGAGGATGCTACGCATCAATCATTATATTCTCAGACAGAAGGCCTCGAACTGAAGCATGCACCACCAGGTCCTGCTTACTTCGGCTTAACGACGAACATTTCGACGAAACTCCAAGAGATGAAAGACCATCCATGGAAAGAAGGTACAGGTGACTTTGTTAATGTGAAGGTTGTTGGTAATTATTTGGAGGACTATGCCAGAAGATTTTATCTAGGAAAGGCCCTGAGATACAATACCAAAGTCGAGACTATTGACAAAATAAATGGAAAATGGATTGTGAGATCAAAGCTCTTGAACAAAACTCATGACGGGAACATAGAATTGATCGAGAGCGAAGAGGTAGGCTTTTTTGAGCGATCTAAGCGTTTCGGAGACTAACTCGTGACTAGGCTTTTGACAAAGTAGTCGTGGCGAGTGGGCATTACCATGCCAACAGAGTGCCCGACATTAAAGGATTGAAAGAATGGAGAAAAGAATATCCAGAAAGGGTTATGCATTCGAAGGCTTACAGGAGACCCGAAGTGCTTGCGGACCAGGTAGGTAATGATGCTTAAGTATAATCTGGCCATTCACTAACTCTTATCAGACCGTACTTCTGATTGGAGGGAGTGTTTCTTCGACCGACATCGCCAGGGAGCTTAATGGTATAGCCAAGGAGGTCTATCAATCCACTCGAGGTGGCCAATTTGACCTTCCCCTTAGCTTTCTACCTCCAAGTGCAAAAAGGATTGGAGAGTGTGCATCTTTTGAGTTTCAAACCAGTAACGAAGGCCGAGGGATTGTTCACTTGAAAGATGGGACAACGCTGGTTGGGATCGATAAAATCGTGATTTGCACAGGATACCATATTTCGTACCCATTTCTTCATCCCTATCACAACGACCTAATCTCTCCAGCCGAAGCAAGCGAAACAGTCCTTGTGACTGATGGAACGCAAGTCCACAATCTTCATAAAGACATATTTTATATACCAGATCCAACACTTGCTTTTGTTGGCACAGCATATTATGTATCGACCTTTTCTTTATTCGAATTTCAGGCTATTGCAATTGCGGCTGTGTTCTCCGAAAGAGCGCAGTTGCCACTCGAGGAAGAAATGAGAGAAGAATATAGATTGAAAGTGATAGAAAAGGGGTTCGGTAGAGCATTTCATGCTCTTAATGAAGGGCGAGAACCAGAATATGTTCATCAGTTGGTAGCTTGGATCAATGCAGATGCTGCGTCAAGTGGAGGGAAAAGGGTAGAAGGTCACTCCGAGGCATGGTTGAGAGAAGACGAGATCAAGATGGAGAAGCTTCGTGAGAGGTTTGATAAAAAGAAACAAGAGGAGAAGCAAGATGGAGGTCTTCGTATATACAACCCGAATAGTAGAGAACCCCTTCCTAGGTCCAACTATCGACTATTTAAAGGAATTGAGAGCAATGGAGCACTTAAAGAACAGGTAGTCGGATGAGGTGGGAATTGTCTTCTTCAAGGTCCTGCCGCCGGATCATGAAGGATTGTAACAAATACAAGTAGAGAGATATATTATACCAAAGCAAGAGTTGATCAGTGTATTTTTACTCACCATATCCCGTGGTGAATTCGACTAATTTGCTTTGAATAATCACATCTACCATAAATTATATCGTTTGGTGTTTGCACTCCACAAATTAGTACACGAGTAGTCCTGAATGGGATGAATGATTCTTGTTGAATTGGATATGCAAACATAGATGAGCGAAAAGCTGCGATAATCTGTTTCAATAATTGACTGTAGATGTTCAATCCAAAACGAATCCATCCAGCAGCTTATACTGTAGTCATATCATAACATAATTCGAATGATGATGATAATTATGGATGAGGATGGTTGAGTAGAGTGAAGTCGTTGTCAGTTGTCAGAGAGGTTGATTGCTGGAAGTAAAGGATACAGCCTCATGAAATTTTAGCGAAGGCGCGTCGAGGGAAATCGCGACTTTCTCATCAACTCATTTATGACTTCACACCAATACCAGAAGAACGCCCGCAGCTTTTTACGTCCAATATAATTCACGATAATACACTTCACTTCAACATTTGAATATACAAGAGTTCGATTCCAGTACTAAATACAATATCCGCAAAAGTCCAATGCCATTTCTCGCACAATAACCCACCCAATCTCGAATCTCGAAGCTCGAATCTCGAAACGCGTTCACAACCACCCTCAAATAAATACAGCAGACCTGGAATTTCACTATAAACGAGTTTTGGTATAGTTTGCTATATCTGGCATATTATTAAACGCGTATTGCTTTTTTTCAATATGTATTTACCACGCTCACAACTTGCGACACTATACCTCCATCTTCAAACGTCTAATCATCCATTATCCCCGCCAGTCCTTATACTCGTTGCTCTCGAACCTGATGCCCTCTGCGGATGTCGAATTCTTACTCAACTTCTCAAACGCGATTACATCCCCCACAAGATACAACCAATTGCTGGATATGGAGATCTAGAGAGAGCAGGGAAGAATGTTATACAACCTATGATGGAAAATCAAGGAGGTAGCGGGGGGGTCGTGGTTTGCTTGGGTGTTGGAGGTCTAGTTGACTTGGGGGCTCTGCTAGGGTTTGACTCGGAGGCAGATGAAGCTAGTTATGGTGGTGTTGATGTTTGGGTAGTGGATGCGAGACGACCTTGGAATTTAGGGAATGTCTTTGGAGGATTTCCAATGATATCGCATGAAGTGGAGGGCGGGGAAATTATATCTGAGCCACCGAAAGGTGTGGTTGGAGGTATGATCGCAAGGAATTACAAGCCAGGCAAGGGAGGGATCATAGTTTTTGATGACGGGGATATTGAAGAAGACATGAAGGCGGAAAAAGATGCATACTTGGCGCTGGTGGATATGCCAGAGGCGGACGATAATGGAGATGATAGCGAGGGTAGTGAAACAGGAGAGGACAGTGATGCCGATGATGCATCTCCAGTCAGGCGGCCAGGAAAGAAGAGAAAGTCTTGGTCGGATCGAGATGAGGAAGATGATACTGATGTAGAGAATGAAAGACCACGCCAGAGGCGAAGAAGTAATTCAGTACGTACCTTTACTTTAGCCTCATGATGCATACTAGCTAACCGTCATATTAGTCAAGTGCAATATCAGAATCTCCAACTCGTGCTCCACAACGTGGACTTCTATCACTCAATGATCCAACAATATTCTCCAGCGATTCACGATCCGTATCCCCTTCACCAGCACAACCTCCCAAACCCACTTCTGCGAGAGCTTTACGGCGAAAGTTTCTCAAATTACGTCGAAAGAATGAAATGGTTCTTCAAACATACTACAACCTTGGTGCATCATACTCGGAGCCGATAGCTTCAATGATGTATTCCCTAGCTTCAGAATTAGGTAGAGAAGATAATGATTTACTTTGGATGTCAATAGTTGGCGTTAGCTCGCAAGAATTATACGGTCGATCGGCGATTGGAGTTGCAGTAACAACACAAAAGTCCACACCGTCAGGATGGTTAGGTTCTCGAGGATCAAGAACACGACAACTTCTAAGAGATGAAGTGCGACGTCTCAATCCTCCAGAACTTTCAGATTCGGCCTTTAATTCAAATCGAAATATGTCACCAGAAAACAGCGGTATCATACCGACCACAGCGCGAAGTCCAACCGATACCAGTATTCGTTTATCACCGGAGCCAAAATTCCTTCTCATCAGACATTGGAGTTTATATGATAGCATGTTACATTCTCCATATTTGTCGGCGAGATTACATATTTGGTCGGATAGTGGACGAAAACGATTACATAAATTACTTGCAAAGATGGGAGTAAGTCTTGTCCAGTGCAAACAAAGCTATACCCATATGGATATGGAACTCAAACGCGGACTCCGGACAAAATTATTAAAATACTCGGAACTCTACGGGCTAGACGATCTTGTCCCAAGCGCGGATACGGACGGTAAAGATCGAGGAGGCTCGAAAGAAGGGTGGGGCTTCGTGAGAAGCTGGGGCTGGAAAGCTACGCTCAGTGCGCAAGATGTAGGAGTTGTAGTGGGTGCTATTTTGGAGGTTGGAAAAAAAGCAGTAACGACTCTGGAGAACGGGGCTTGGGACCGCAGCCGAGAGACTAAGGAGACGAGTGATGAAGATGGGACGTTAGAAGGTGAGGAATGGGTTGGAAGATTTTGGGATGCTTATGATGCGCTTGAGAAGTATGTTATCATTTTTCTTGAATAATTTTGCATGTCAAAACTTGAAGTGGTAATACTAATCTTCTCCGCAAAACAGAATCGATGAACTTAAACTCGCCCTCCCTATTGCTCAGCATCTACATCGTGCTATTCTCCGTACCGGCACTTCTCTAATCGAAAAACGACAAATCAAACATCTCCGCGCTTTTCGTATGGCAGTCGTAAAAGAAGGCCCAGATGTCCCATTATTCACTCATCCGGCCGCGTTGACCAAACTCGCTTTGTGGATCGGTGAAGCCATCGCGGAACAAGAAAGAGAAAGTAAAGGCAAATTGGGAAACGGAGGTAGAGGAACACCTTTAGTCGTCGCTGGCCTACACGAAAGCAGAGGTGTGTATGTTGTAGTTGGTACCGGTGGTGGAGGTGGTGGAGCAGGCGGATGGGGATTCGGCGATAAGAAAGCAGCAGGAGAAAAAGCCAAAAAGAAACAAGAAAAAGACGAGGCGAGAGAACTAAGAAGAAAAAATAAAGAAAAAATTCGAGAAGAAAAACGAGCAGCTAAACGAGCGGCTCGCGGTGAGGAAGATGATGATGAAGACGATGAAACAGAAGAAGAATCCTCAGAAGAGGAAGATGATGATGATGAAGAAGTGGAAGAGGATGAAGATCAGGAAAGGGGAAAAGGATTCGGGAGGAATAAATTCGGAAACGCATTTCAGGAGGTGGTGGAGGAAACTAATGCGAGGGTTAGGATTGATAGTTTTGAACATTGTGTGGTGGAGGTTAAGAAGGAGGATTTGGGGGGGTTTTTGGAAAGCTTGAGTTTGAGGGCTGTTGTTGGGTAGGGGTAGGGGGAGGTGGAGGTGGAGGTGGAGGTGTTGTTTATGACTGAGTGAAGGAAAAGGAAAAGGAAAAGGAGATAGGGTTGGGGTTTGGTGGGAGGGAGTTGGGAGTTTCGGATATGAGTATGAATGGATATGAATATGATTGGGGATGGGGATGGGGATGGATGCAGAGCAGAGATGAGCAGAGATGAACAAATATGTAGATAATGATTATGATGGCTGGGCTGGGCTGGGCTTGGATCAAATGGGTTGGATTGTTGGATTCATTGTACTCAAGTATTGCATTGCATGGCATGGCATTGCATAGCATGGTTTGATTGACGGAGCGGGAGCGGGAGCGGGGTTAGGTAAAGGTAAAGGCGAAGGCGAAGGCGAAGGCAGGATAGGGATAGGGATAGGGATAGCGCGAAATGTTTATATATTATGTTGTATGGTGTATGGTATGGTGTTGTATGGTATGGTATGGTATGGTATAAGGAAGGATTAGAATTACTCCAGTCGAGTAGAATTATATTGTTGATTATATTATTGATTATTGGGTATATTATTGGGTAAATTGTTGATCATTGGTTATTGGGTATATGCTTGAATGTATGAATGTATGAATGGAAGGGGATGTGCGAATGGTATGAATGGATTCAATACCTACTAGTATAGCTATAATTTAGTATACATGATTGTGGGGGGGATGACTGTTAGAATGGATGGATGGATGACTATGAGGATGGATGGAAAGAAAGAAAGATGAATGGATGGATGGATGGATAAATGAATTATCAAACATGAAAGTATAAATATATACTCGAGTATAGGTTGATAAATAGATAAATAGATATATTTTATTTATATCATTTATATCATTTATATTATTTATATATGTATTCATTTATCTACTAATAGAATAAATAAATATATAATATATAAAATATATTAATTTTCTTTATAGAGATAGAGAAAAGGAGAAAAAGAGAGAGATGCCATGTGATATAATACTCGAGTATAATATAATGTGGTAGTCTTTAAGTTTATAGTTAGAGTTGTAGTTGAGAATTGAGTTGTAATATCTATTATATTGGATTGAAGGTTTGAGGTTTGAGGTTTGAAGTTTGAGAATTTAGTATTTGATTGGTTAAGTAAAGGAGAAAGGAACAGAAGAAAAAGATGAAAATGAAAATGAAGATGAAGATGATAATGATAATTAGAAATAGACTGGGTAAGGAAAAGGGGAACAGGGATAGGGATGGGAATGGGGATAAGAGAGGGGAAGGAAACAGAAAAAGAAACAGAAAAGAAAAGAAAAGAAAAATAAAGGGGGGGGGGGTAGGGATAAAATACTCGAGTAAAGAGGAACGAACATACAGTAGACATGAGAACTTGGAAGCGAGAATGACAATCTTTTTTTGGATTCAATTAAGGGGGGCTGAACCAATTGCAAGCAGTGGTGGGACTAGTGGAACTGATGGAAGTGATGTAAAAATATCAGGTTTGCTTCAGGTTTTAAAACATAATCTTACATAGTATAGAAACGGAACATCGTTCTCGTTCTCCTCTACATTCTTTCCTGGAGTTGATAAAACATCGATCATTTCATTAGTACCTCTGAGAGTACTCGAGTACTCCATCTTTCTTCACTTCACATATAGATAATCAATGGAATAGATACACAAGTATAAATAAAAATCATATCATATAATATCATAACGACCTTAATAAATACCCCTCATCTTCTAATATCGTTTCTATCCTCCCGTCTAAGTTCTTCCATCATAATATCATGTCTTTCTTTTTTTTGCTCCGGAGTCTCATTCTTCCACGGTTTATCATATGTCGGATCAAGCGGCGAAATTACAGGTGATGAAGATTGATTGCCCACGGGTAGTCTCGTGATTTCGCTTCTGTTATTGCTGTATGGTTGGGAGTATGATTGTGTTTGTATTTTGGGTTGGTTAGTGGGAGTATTGCGTAAATCTCGCTGACTCTTTTTCGCTTTCACAGCTGCACTTTTGCTATTGTTGCCATTATTGCTATTGGAGTACGGGTGCGAGGATTGTTGTTTGCTAGTGCTAGGTTCCAATAAATCTTTATGGCTTTTCTTCGGAGTCACTCTTTGACCACTAGATCCAGGTCGTGCAGGAGATTTTTGATAGTCGCGATGTGGCGAGTATGAAAGAGGAGGTAAGGGTGGAATGTCTTGATTTTGATGAACATGATATTCATCAGGCGTACGAGGTGAGCGCTTAGGAGATTTTCTACTGGGGGACCTTCCACTGGGAGACTTTCCGGGAGATTTCCCTCGTCGTTTCTCATTGATTAAGGGATCGATGCTTATCGAAGGTGGCGGGCGCGAATGAGAAAGAGGTTTTTGTTTCGGGGGAATCTCGAAGCTTGATTGAGTACTGGGTGGCTTACGCTGAGACGGCGATTGGGACGAATTCTTTCCATGTCGTCGCGTACGTGTAGATGTACCACTATCAGAACCGTAATCCGATGATTTATGTGTGCTTGTTTTGGATGGAGGTCGCTGACCGGTGCCAGCAGAATCATGCGATCCATTACCTCCACGAGACTCATTTCGACTCCTCGTGTTGCTACTTTCACGCGACTTTGAACGCTCCACGATCATGACATGACCAATAAGATGTCTATGCTCCCCTTTCTTCAGGCTTATTCGACAACTTTCAAAATCGACCTTTTCTAGCCAAAAGTGCACATTCCTGAAGCGATAATTGTTCTGCCATATTGCGATTGCCTTATCAGGTACCATAATACCTTGTGAACGGTGATGTTGGTGGTCACAGTCATAAGCCATAGGGTTTAGATCGTATTTTTTCCCTCTCTCTCTGTTTTTTTGGGTTGATATAGCTTGCGTGTCCTCTAGGTGTCTCTGATTATGGTCGACATAACTTTGTAAAAGTGCCACTATTTTGCTCAGTTCAGAGATGGATGGTTGTGGTGGTGCTGGGGTTGACTTCGGATCCCCAAACCGATTCACACGCTGGCAAAACTGATAGTCTAGAGGAGGTTTTCGGATAGTCAAACCTTGCATTCGCGATACATATACTTTTGTGTCACGTTCTGTGGACCGGAACATTTCGATTTGGACTGCGGTATCTAAACTAGCATCAGGGATCCATGTGTCTTTTGTGTGCCATATTGCCTTGGCGCACGCTCGTTCTAGCTTTGCAGAATGAATATCGTTCCGCCAGCGTTTCTTAGGGTTACTGATAAACTTGATTTGGGAGCCAGCCTTCGGTTCTGTCAGGTTCTGGTCGATATCGAGAAGCCCCTTCAGAACAATGATATCAATTTCGATGCGGTCTTCAGGTCTTTGAGTTTTATTATAGTTATCAATATAATCACCAACAGATGTAACCATCTCTGTCACTGAATAGGACGGCTTGTATACCTGGGTCGCCTGGCTGAATTCTCCATGTCGAGGTTCAGTTCTATGCGGTATTGGCACAGGCTTGGTATGTCGCGGACCCTCTGGACGCCCTCCAGGAAAACTGTCATTTGGCACATCACTTCTGTTCGTCGTGTCATTTATCTTGCTCTTTTTCGGTTTGTGGGTTTGGCCATCAAAATTCTCGTGTCGAGAGTCTTTCTTTCTACCAAGAAGTTGTTTCAACCACTTCATACCGATCTGCTGGAGCTACTTTGAGTCAGTATATGGCGTGTTTAATGATTGGTATATATGAAGTCACAAAGTATTACCTTAATCTACTTTGAATGACAACCCATGATGATTCACCTCTAGGAGCAGTAAAAACGTTCCCACGAAGGAAGAGAATTGTTGTTTCAAAGAAAGTAGTGAAGCACTGAGATGATTGGTCTGGTAAGCACTTCTAACCACGACCTACCCAACGAGATTAAGTCGGCCAAAAAGAAAACAAGACTTGGAATGATCTTCCTAGTGTAAAAGAGAAATTGAATGTTGTAAGTTTACGACAAGCTACGCAAACCTTCAATACAATGAGAGTTTAAGTTGGGATATGTTTGGAATCCAACAGGAAATCCTTCATTATATTAGTACTTGACCGCGCTGAAGAACCGTGTGTAATGTAACATCAGGCCTTCATGACCGCCACCTAAACGAGGAAATTTTTGAACAAAGACCTCTACTATGTCCGGTGGGTGGGATATGAAGGCAATATCGAATGAGAATGTCTGCTTTTAAGGATTAGGGTGGGCTGTGGTCGACGTGACCACCAACATTGTGCACCGCCATATCCGTATTTAGCACCATGACCTCGCACATACATCTGGAGTCAATCAATGTAAGCGCCGTAATAGCCGCGATGAGTAGCTACGTAGTGGCTTTAGTTGAAGTCTGTATATCTATAGGGGATATATATCGATCAAATGAAGACATAGTTCGAATATATGTATGCGCCTGGAAGCTGTAAAGATTTGATCGGACATCGCTGCTGGAAGAGTGCGTTTGTGTGGTTCCAACTGAATTGAAATCAATAAGAAGTCGGATCGCAAAACTTCAATTATTGGATGCTTGTAAAATTGATCCTGATTTCAAGGTGGTACTACCGGTATTCTTGACTGTTTGATTGAGGTTGTCATTGGAAAGTACTCGAGTAGTTCTCCACGGAAGATCGGCATTAGCATTGCCGACCTCAGGATTACATAAGCACTAGACCCAAGAACTTTGATCGAGCAAAGCAACATCGATATTATCACCACCCAAGGTCGTCCAGGTAGAGTTTTTTGTAGTGGATAGACAGACCTGTTGACCCAAGATGAAAGATGAAAGAAAAGAACTTAGTTAATCATCTCTCATTGCTACGCCTCTCGCCACGCTGAGGTGTCTTGAGCATAGGTTACTCAATGCCAGGCAAGAACAGAAAACGGCCTTCAGAATCTAGAAATCTTTGGTCTACATATAATTAGCGTTACAATTAAAAGTAGTTGTCCAAAAGTGATGCAAATAGCAATATCGCCTTCATACACCCTTTTCCGAACTTGGTGGCTACCGATAACTTCTCTCGATTAACTGCACCAAATTCTTTTGGTTTGAGGGTAGATACACCTCATCGGATTCTAATTGGGTGTTAGGCAGAAGCTCTTCAGTATCTCGCCATCCGATTGATTGCGGGGACCGGTAGGCTCTTCTACTGACGAGTGAAATGTGTAAGGAAGGTAAAATGTGGAGGATGAATGTGAAGGGCGAGGAAATCAATTCTTCAAACAGCGTACTAAGTCAACTACCCCCCTTTTCGGCCACCCTCAAAACCCACACCGCCTCAGTAACCTACCTTCTTAAATATTTTCTGATTAAATAATCATTCAATTAATTGATTTCAAATTTTGATTTATTATTATTTATATAATATCGAAACTCTATATTGAAGATAATATTGCTGTAACTTTAAATACTATCATAAATAATGTTTTGATGTGAAAAGCTGCTCTGGAATATGGGATTTTTTGCATTATACTTCAGAATCATATCAATAACTATATATCCCATCAAAAAGGTTTCGAAATGATGTAAAAGATTACTCTAATTCAGGAGAGATATTTAATAAAATAGATATTAATATAAAAGAGCTTAAATACTAATCCTACTCATTAGCAAATTTGAGAAATTGTTAAACACCTTCTTAATATAAAGAAACTCGATTTTACCCTTGGAAAATAATAGATATACAATTTTTTGGAAAGGAATCCAAAGATTAGAATCAAGAAACAATATAAAATCGATTCTGTCCAAGTTTTGGATGCTTTTTATGATATTATTGCACCATAGTTTCGAAAACTCGAATTATCCAAAATTATCAATATAAAACTACAAAATCGATATAATATAAATAAAATTAGTATAGTGAAGGATTAGGGTT